CTATAAATGACATCAAATTACCTTCCCTCTCACAATATTTTGTATGACTAAATCGTTTATTTATTTATTTATTTATTTAAGTACCCTCACGGATCGAAGGCGTTATACGATGCATTTGCAATTATGCTGCGTAATTCAGTGAATTTCAAATTCACTGTATCTGTCGCATAAGGAAACCTATTCAAAACTTGCAATGTACTCAGTATTCATAACCTTACAAGCAATCCATGAGACTTAAAAAAGGACAGCAATGTAATGTATCATCCTTGAAAGGACTTGGTAATCTGCGCAGCGACATTTCGTGACCTGTTAAATTAGAAAGCCTGACTATTAGGAAGTACCAACCAAGGTTTCGATTGAACACCAGTAAAAAAATGTTGACTTACCAAATCCCGAGACTTCTAAACAATTACGTGTTGCATTCTCATGACATTAATTTGGGATCACGAGTCTTCGAAAATTAAGAGACATAATGCATACCTATTTCATTTAGGATACAATGCTTTGACTATTAAACAGTAACGTGTTCGAATTATTTTTAGTGCAAATCCTTGTTATTTACATTGTTTCTCTTATGTATATATATATATACACCTTTTTTTTTGTGTTGTGTTGAGTAGTAAGTTATGTGTACTTCGCTTGAACGTCCCAGTCACGCTGCTGCTGCGAAGCGCATTGGAGTTGAGACCTCGTCAAACCGTCTATAGTCGGTGACAGGTCAAGAAAGACGAGGAAGCTCCTCCCATCTCTTTCCACTATAGCAGAGCGGACGCTGGAGAGGAAGTGACATTCTCTCCAAAGTTCACTGTGGTAAAGTGGAGAGAGGTGGGAGGAGCTTCCACTTCCTTCTTGACCCATTTATTTGAAATGGAAATAAAATCATAATATTATTATTTTGAAAAAGAATGTTGGTATTCAACGTCCAGAAACCCAAGGTCGAGGGGTTCACGATGTTCTTATTTGTGAGTCGCCCCATATATAGTGCACTCGAATCTTTCGTCAACATTTTAGGATAACGAAAGAGGGACATGGAAGACAGACAGACATCACAGGCTTTGAAAAGCCTGTGTTGTCTGTTTGTCTTTCCTGTACCTCTTTCGTTATCGTAAATTAGAAACCAACACGGTCCACCGTCTACATCTCTTCAACAGTTCGCATTTCATGTGCGTGCACCGCATGACCGACGTAAGTTGCGACAAAAACATATACACATAAAAAAAATTTATCCTTCCAATAAATTTAAAAAAAACGTAAAAATTAAGTTTCCGTTTCTCAGGTAATACTGCAAACATATTGCCGCTGACACCTACATTTTCTTTTGACGCAGCTCGATAACAGTATACATGACCCGCCTGCAGACCTCACGGATTCAGTTCCCGCCTTTTGTCGATGGTTTCGATCTGCAGTATTGTAATGGCAGGTACTTATTTAGCAGTCCTACCAATCTCACACTATGCAAACTACTACCGTATATTTGAAGCGCGTATCGTCGTAACCTCCGCGCAGATCCGTGCAGATAATTTTTTTTTTTCCTTTGAGGCGCGAGCTCTCGCTGCACGAGAGTTCATGGGCCTCCCAACCTCCAAAAGCAAGGAGCTCGTGCTTGTAGCCTTCGTTGGGCTACATGTTAGGCGAGACGGAGACAGAAAGAAACGGGGAGACGAAGTGAACTAACGAAAGAAGAAACCACACCGAATGCGCTTTAGGAGCACTGCGAAAACCGTGAAGAAGAAAGCGAGAGCGGTCCGAATCGACTGCCCATGCGATGAGACGCGCCAGAGGGTGGCCTTCACGGTCCCCGAGATCAGCCTGGACCGAGATTTCGCCATCTCGGTGACTCTCGGTGCCGACTAAAATCAATTTGGACACTTTCTGTTTCTCGACGTGTTTCTGTCGCGCTGAGACGAATAGTCGTCGTGCGATGAACTTGCCGACCCCCGCGACGCTGCGTTTTTGAAACTGACAACAATGGGATTTTGCGCGCAGATATGGTCTATTATAGGGCAACAACACAACACGGCACACGACGCCCGTTCGGGATGTGACCCGTGTTGAATAGTCGCAGCCTTCACGGCCCGCAGGGAGCTCAGCCGTAAGAATGCATCCATTCACTCATCCAAAAAAAGATCGTACGCTGTGAGCTGTGGATCGCGGGCGCTGCTGGCGAGTGCTAAATTTACGCTTAAAGTGACAACACGGAGCTCCCGTTAAAGTAACGCAAAGGCCTTTCGCGCGAACTACAAACAGACATTTTTATAAAGCACATAAGCTTAAGCCATTGCGCTGGGAAAAGGAAGACTGAATCGCCGCTAAAGTTTTTTTATGCAGCAATTAAGCGTCTATGTAGGAAAAGGTACGCTTCCTCTGTCATGATTTATGCGCATCTAAATGAAGAAACAACCGCCGCGCTAATCGCGCGGTTGTCCCACTTACTTGAAAGCGTACACGGCAAGCCTATTTGGGATGGAAATCGCACGCCTGTTAAGAGCGACCGATTCACTTCCCGCATCAATCAATACGCGGCACTTTAATTCGGCTAAAATCCCTACGGTCGGACCTTCCACACATGCAGTGTTCAGAAGGTATTTTGGGAACATTCTTTATTCGGCGGCACACCCCTGATGTTTTCATTAAAACTAAAAGTACTAACGCTGTGACTGAGTTGAAGTGTGACTAAAGAAAATATTTGATTGAATACAAACGGCCATCAATCTCCGCCGCGGAATGATATTGTAGGAGAAAAAAAGGATCACTATAAACTGAATTTGGTTTATAGGCCGCAGACTTTGTTCACGGCGCAATCATCTTTGTCCCTAGATTATGGTGGACTTCCGGTGTAGCATGTAGCTTGGCTACCCAACGAAATACCGTTGCTTGCAATCGGCGTACTTTCATGTTTTTTTGTTTTTTTTTGCTGGGAGTCATTTTGGCTTTTGATACATTAATCAGTTTTTTTCTGTAAATAAGAAACGATAGCTTTATAACGACCTTTCATCACTGGCTCTGCATTCTAGCGCAAGCGCGGCAGCCTAGGATATTCACGCATCCAGCGGTTCGACAAAGGTCAAAGGTACACATGTCCGAACAATTAAACGCGAGCCGAAAATCGGACGAGAATCTTAACATGCGAAAATAGTTAAACACTATATTTCGAAAAAGAAACGAATAAAGGAACGAACGAGCAGCAGGTGCACGGGTATTCACCGTACGAAACCATATTTGCGATATCAGTAGATTTCAATTTTCTTGTCTGGATCGTTTATGGAGAATCAACGCGTGAAACGTTTTTTCGTGCATTTCGATTTGTGGCACGTGATTGTCATTTAAAAAAAAAAAATTTCGAGCATGCGTTTTAGGTTTTTAATATGCAGCGAAGACAGGCTTGGGTCGACAACCAAGCTGCGAGCTCTGACCACAAACGTCGGAAGATCAGACGACTCGATAGCACGCCAAGGGCGCCAAGAATTAACAAACAAGTTTCCTTAATTAAAGTATCTTGATACTGTGAAACGTATTTTAGAAATAGTAAGAAAAAAACATATTTGCGCTTTTACGTGCGTTTCAATTTCATCGTGTGGCTCGTTTATGGAGAACAAGTGCCTGAAGTGATTTTCGGGTGTTTCCTTTTTGCTTCGTGTCTATTTTTTTTAGGCACCTGTTTCAGGTTTTTAATATACAGAGAAGTCGGACTTGGTCAATCGCCAAGCATGCAGCTAACTCTGACAAAAAACTTCAGAAGAGACGACTCGATCGCACGCCGAGGGCACCAAAATCAACAAACAGGCCCTCCTTAGTTAGTCTCTTGATACTGCGATACTTGATACTGTCTCTTACAAGTAATAAAAAAAAACACGTATGATTAACGATAATAATCCCTGGAGAAGGGGAACAACGTGGACAAACGACAAACATAAATCTCCAAACACAGATTGGAGCGCGACTGAAAAATCCCCCTGGTCTTGGCAACGAACTAGGGAAATCTCCGTTTCCGGTGGAGCACCAGTCACCTCGCTGTGTTTGGAAATTTGTGGTTGTCCTTTGTCCTCCTGGTTTCCTTTCTCCGGGGATTATTTTCGTTATCCCTATCCAGCTCACTCGCACCTTTGCATTAATTGCATTATCATCATAATGGATGACTAAGCACATTTCGAGGAAATAACGTGGACGACACAGAGTTTGTTCCAAAGTTCTGAAGTTCCTATAGCCTTTACCCACATAAGAATTACAGGACAGGCTCCCCCGTACGGAAATTTCTCAGAAAGGAATGACGTCACTAGGCAACACCATTTTTTATGACGTAACGGCAAAAGAAAAAAAAATGCTGTCAGTATTCTTTTTTTCTTTTTTTTTTTTAAGGTCAGCCACTAAAACCGATAGATAGTGATAATTTTGTATTTGATTGCCGTAACCTTCTTTTTTTTCTTACTTATTGTCGATGGTGGCGACGTCTCATCATTGAGGAAAGACAAGCTTGGCTTGTAGAAGCCTACAGTCGCGGTCGCACTGCATCATGCGAAGAAGACCCTGCAAACAGTGACGCGTACGTGTTTCCTCCTCGTATGACGGTCACATTGCTCATACAACAACTGCCTCCAGACATGATCACTGTATGGAGCAAACATGCTTCCAACATGCTTGAGGCGTGCCCGCAGATAAGCCCGTCATCGTGTTCTATGTATGATGGGTGAGCAGCGTGACAGTGGCTTTAGGCCACTATGGATGCCGCTTTGTTGAATCTTTGACGGTTTATAAACTTTTTTCTATGTGTTCTACGGCCATCAAGTTAATGTTAAATTAAATGGCTGTTCTTCAATTATACTTTGATGTCTCAATATTACGTTTATTCTTAGTTCTTAGTGTTGTGGCTTACGACCACGGTGCTTACGACAAGAGACAGGACGAGGTGCAGCCGATGTAGCTTCCAGAGCCAAACGGTTTTAATGTCCCGTGCATTCGTCTCGTCTCGCACATCCCAGGCGCGCGCTCACTTCTTTGCCCGCCGCCTCGCGCTATTTATTGAAACAATACTCAAACACAACACTCCTTCCCCATCAATGTTTTGGCTGACTCACACAAGAATACCTCTCCGGTGGCCTACGTTGTCGTATGCTACTTCGAAGCACTGGTGTGGTCGGTACCGCTGTCTCGGAAACAGGCTCCATATCGAGGGCAGCAGGCTCTGTCATGTTGTCTCGAGAACCACCGGACGCCCTTCGTGGTGTTGCAGCCGGAGTGTCGACATTTCTTCTCTGTGCAGACGAATCTTCGAAGTGTCTCGGACGGACATCATCCACGTGCACATACCGATGCTGATCTTGCACTATCACGACGTAGGTTGATGCACTTACTTTCTTCATAACACGTCCCACCAACCATGCAGGATCTGTCGGACGTGATCCCCGGACGAGGACTTGGTCGCCTTCTTCGAAAGTTCGCCAAGAGCCTCTTCTCATGTCGGCGGCTGTCTTGATTTGTTGCTGGCGATCTCTCATGCGTCTCTCCATTTCAGGATGAAGGAAGCTCAGACGGGTCCTAGGCTTCCAAGAGAGAAACAGCTCGGCTGGAGTTCTGTCGGTCGTACCAGTTGGGGTGTTTCTGTATGCAAACAGGAACTGGTCGACTCGATGTTGCATCGATTTCGATACACCCGTCCGTTGCTCGTCGATTACCTGCCTCAGGAGGTCCCGCTTGACGGTTTGCACACACCGTTCCGCGCTTCCGTTTGAGGCGGGATGGTACGGCGGACTTTTCGTGTGGCGTACCCCATTCATCGACAGAAACTCTACGAACTCTGTCGCCACAAACTGGGGTCCATTGTCTGTCACTACCTCTTCTGGTAGTCCAAACGCGGCGAAAACACTTCGCAATCTTTCGATAGTACATTTTGTCGTAGTGGAACTCATTAGAAACACCTCTACCCACTTTGAATGAGCATCTACGACAATCAAAAACCAGTTCTGATCCCGGTATGCAAAATCAAGATGCACCCTTTGCCATCTGCGAGTTGGCCAACCCCACGTTAATAATGGAACACGTGGTGGCGCGTTCTGCGTTAGTTGACAAGTACTACAGTTTTTGACAGTGTTTTCGACATCATATGTTATCAAAGGCCACCACACGTGACTACGTGATAGCATTTTCATTCTGGTGGTGCCTGGATGTCCCTCGTGCAACAGGGACAACACTTTTTCCCTAAACACTTCGGGAATGATCACTCGATTTCCCCATGTTACACACCCTTGGTCAACCGACAATTCGTGACGGTGCACAAAGTACGGTTGCAATGCCTCATTATCCACATGTGAAGGCCATCCGTTCAGTGTGAAAAACAACACTCTTTTCATCACACTATCCTTTTCAGTTTCTCTCCTAATTTCACGAGCTGACAATGGCACTTCGTCCACCGCCGAAAAGAAACTGACGTAGTCTGAGCTATCGTTCACGTTGGGCAAAGGCAGACGTGACAGCGCATCAGCATTCTGAATCTGGCTACCCTTCCGATAAACCCACTTGTAACTGTAGGCAGCAAGTAAGAGAGCCCACCTCTGCATCCTGGCTGCTGACATCGCCGGAATTTGTTTTTCATGACCTAACAGCCCTGCCAACGGCTGGTGATCCGAATAGATGCTGAAATTTCTGCCATACAGATACTTGTGAAACTTTTTCAACCCAAAAACAACTGCTAGGGCCTCTTTTTCAATTTGGGCGTAACCCTTTTCAGCCTTGCTCAGAGTTCGTGATGCATAAGCAATCGGTTTCTCATCATTCCCAACTCTGTGAAAAAGAACCGCTCCCACTCCGTACGCTGAAGCGTCACATACAAGCCCCAATTCCTTTTTTGGGTCATAGAACGTTAAGACGTTTTCATGCGTAAGCCACGCCTTACTTCTGTTGAATGCGTTGTCTTCTGCCCTTGACCAACGCCATTTTGTGCCCTTCTGTAATAAGTCATACAACGGCTTCAGCTCGGTTGACATGTTCAGCACAAACTTGCCATAAAAGTTAATCATGCCCAAGTAGGCGCGCAGTTCTGATTCATTTTTGGGGCATGGGGCCTCCCGTATGGCCTTTACTTTCTCTTCCGATGGTCGAACCCCATGTTGATATATCACATGTCCCAAATAATGAACAGACGTCTGAAAAAATCTACATTTTTCTTTCTATAGTCTGATGCCTTGTTGGCTGAACCGTGCCAGCACGCTTTCCACCTTTTTGTAGCAGTCCTCATAAGTTTCGCCCGCTATTAGTACATCGTCTAGATAGCACGCGACATTTCTCAGCCCTTCCAGTACTTTGTCCATGACGGACTGAAAAATTGCAGGAGCACTAGTGATGCCGTAAGGCAATCTCGTGGACTTAAACAAGCCAAGGTGTGTGTTCACAGTGACCAAATCTTGTGACTCCGGATGCAATTCCAGCTGCTGGTAGGCTGTAGACAGATCAAGTACGGTAAAGTACTTACAACCACTCAGTAAAACGAACAAGTCTTCCATGAGCGGGAGAGGGTAGCGATCCGTCCGACAGACTGGGTTTAAGGTCACTTTGTAATCTCCACACAACCGGACCTGTTTGTTTGGTTTAGGTACCACTACCAAAGGTGTCGCCCACTCACTTTGCAACACTGGTACCAATATTCCTTTTGTTACTAATGATTGAATTTCCTGCTCCACAGCTTCTCTTAGCGCATAGGGCACAGGTCGCGGTTTGCAGTAGACAGGGGTGCTTTGTTCCTTCAAAACCAGTTTGACCTGTTGTCCTTTTATCAAACCCACACCTTCTCCAAAAAGTTCAGCGTACTTCTCAAGGAGCCTTGCTTCCTTTTCTTCTCTTACACTGTTTACGCATGACCAGTCTAGCCTCAGCTCTTCTAGCCAGTCTCGACCAAGCAGCGGGGTTACGTTGCCCCCTGGTGCCTTAACTACAATAAGAGGAAGTGTCTTTCTCTGTCCATTGTGCTCGACTGGTACTGACAACTTCCCAGTCACCGTGAGAAAATTCCCCCCATACGTTCTCAATTTAAGGTTGCATGGCTCCTTAGGAATGTTTGCCCAGTATTTCACACACCACGATTCTGGCACTACCGACACGGACGCTCCAGTGTCTATCTGCATTCTTACGAGCTTGTCGGCTACTTTAACATCTACTTCATAGTTACGCCTTCCCGTTTCACACGCGTACACTGTGTAAAGCTGCATATCATCAGCTCCCTCACTTGCGACGTGTTTAACGGAGTCTGTTTTGAACCTACAAACTTTTGCCAGGTGTCCGACCTTTTTACAGACATGACATTTGTACTTGCGGTACTTGCAGGGCTGTCCAGTGTGTACCTGTCCGCAGTAGGAACATGAAGACGTGGTGTCTCCCGTATGCCCGGATGTCTGTTTAGTCGTGGAAGCTCGTGGACCCTTATTTGACTTGCGCCACGGTTCCCTTTTCTGTTGCCGAACCGCGTTCACGTCGTCTTCTTCTCGTTGGCTAGACGACCTATGACGACCTGCAGTAGGCTGAAACGTGATGGTTTCCTTGCGTGCGAGCTCGATGCTTTTAGCAATGTCACACGCGGCACCAAACGTCAACGTCGTCTTCTTCAACAAGTCGGACTGTGTTTTCTTGTCTTTTAATCCCGCGACGAACCTGTCGCGCAAAGCATCATCCAAGAAACTGCCGAACTCGCAAGTCGACGCGAGCTTCTTCAGCTCCACTGAAAAAGTGGCTACCGTCTCCTCTTCCTTTTGGTAGCGACGGTTAAACTTAAACCGCTCTGCTATCACCATCGGCCTCGGAGCGTAATGACCTTTCAGAACCGACACCAACTCCTCCCAGCTTTTCTCTTCTGGTTTGACCGGATGGAGTAAAGTCTTAAAGGGACCATGAAATGACTTTTTTACTTTTTCCACACAACTTTTACAATAAACCGTCAATGTTCACTGAATGCCGAACAGGCATCCGTTTTCGTCTCGGTTTATTAACTTCTACACAAAAAAATTAATGAAATATCGACTTTTTCTTGACCGCAAAACAAGCCGTGACGTACGATGTTTCCGGAACCGGAAGTTCTCTCTGCAGTAGGAGATGGGAGCGTTAGCGAGTTGGGGTGCGCCGGTGGGTTTTACTGCGCCGATGTCACCGACGTATTTTCTGAATCGGCGCCTCTCATCTCCGCATCGCAGCTGAACGAAATTCAATGAGATACGTTGCGCTACAGCGACAGCATGGGACTAGTCCCATACGCCGGTATGCCTGTTGGGAAGTGCAGATGGGAACAATTTGCCGCGGCGTTTTTCGCGGTCTCGGAGATGCAGGAGCGAGCCGACGTTAAAAAAGATACGTTTGAACTGTCAGCAAGAGCCACGTAAATACCTGTTCACACTCGGAGCGGACGCGCGCGTTTGATGAAGTGCTGTATTCGCGCTGTTGGTAAGCGCTTCGGGACCGATCTTTTACAATTGCAACTCGATACTGACGCGACACTCGGCAAAGAAAGGTTGGACCGGTATTGCACGTATACCTCCCACGAACTGTTACAGCTCGACAGTGACGTGCAGTCTGTCAGAATAAAAATGGCATACCAATAACAAAGTGTACATACCGTGCTACGAAGGTAATCCATACAGCGTTTATTTCAGCTCTATATCACACAAAACAAGGAGAGGATCGACGAGGGTCCCTTTTCGACGAGTGTTCGTCAACACTGCCTCGGAAAACAAGGGGAACAGATTGACCTCACCTCTTAACCTAAAATTGAGGTCAGCGATCAAACTATAATACGGAAGGGTCCACAAGGGTAGCGCGGGCATATTCCATTCAGTACGCCAGCCGGTCGTAGGCAGACGGTCTTGCGACGAAGCAACGCTGCGCCGAGTCGGAGTGCCTGCTAGGCCTATATTCTGAGAGTTTCGTCGGAGCGGGATTCGCGGCTGTTGTCGCTCTTCTCGGGTGTTTGTGGATCCAGCGTTCTTGTTCGTCGTGGTTTGTTTTAAGTGCATTTCTTTCTTGCTGCTTGAAGTCGGCACGCGCGAGATGAACACGTAGAAAAATAAACGTTCAGTCAGTCAGAATTTTGAGAGGAAAAAAATAACCGTTCTGAACTTGGCCCTGCCCTACTGCGCACGCGCAGTAGTTGCTTCGTTTACCACACGATAGATGGCGCTTGGCTCTCAGCATTATCAAATTTGGCAATTTTCGCCACACATCTCTAATTATGCTACAAAATGTGGATCTGAATATTATTTACAAAACTTTTAGGAAACATTCGCCGGCTATTTATTGTTTACGATCGCGGTGCTGGTGAGGTAGGCTCTTACCCAATAGGCGATGTGGATTCGGCTGACGTGCACCGATTCTGCGTATGCATCGTAGTGAAAAGGCAGAGCTTTCGAAGGAAAGAAGTCGCAAAAAAGTCCAGTTTTCTTTTAAAAGTTCTGTAGCAAATAATTTTTTTTTGGCTCCCTAGTCTTGTGTTTTTGTGTTCCTTTTCACACCTTTTACGACGTGCGGTGGATGAAATTCGATTTTAAAATCATTTCATGGTCCCTTTAAGAGTCTTGTACGGTTTCTGGCCAATTGCGGTGACAAAAGCAGAGAGCCTTAGGGCTTCGCTTACCTTTGTAGCCTTTAGGTAGTGTTCGAATCTTTCGACGTAAGATTCAAAATCTTCGTCACCATCCTCCACAAATGGATCGAACCTTCCCAACCCTGCCATGTTCGTTCGTCCTTGCCGTGGCCCGGTGGATTCCTTCTACGATGCCCGTTGCAGTCGTGATGGACGTTCCATACCTCGTCGCCAATTATGTTGTGGCTTACGACCACGGTGCTTACGACAAGAGACAGGACGAGGTGCAGCCGATGTAGCTTCCAGAGCCAAACGGTTTTAATGTCCCGTGCATTCGTCTCGTCTCGCACATCCCAGGCGCGCGCTCACTTCTTTGCCCGCCGCCTCGCGCTATTTATTGAAACAATACTCAAACACAACACTTAGTTTATTATTTACCCTTTAATAGGCCACAGTTTCTGATATTGAAGTTTTTTTTTTTTCCCCTCAATTTATAGCGTCCCAATGTCCCTGATAATTTACGTGAGCGGTATTTCGGACAGAGTGAATTAAAAAAAGAAAAGAGAACAAGAAACTGTAGAGATAATGTACATTCTTAAATTAAAAATATATAGTTTAATATAATGTTATTTCCTCGTGCTAGTAAAAATTGAATCACGTCAGCTAACGAAAATAACGAGAGATTAAGTTACGGAGCACCTTTTGATATTACATTTCCCAGAAACTGCCTATCGATAGATTATACGTGAATTGTTCAGTATTCAATAACAAACTCTTCACATTCAGTTACGGCAAGCTGCAGTTTTCTAATATCAAATGCAGATGGCGACACGTGCTCGATTTGCATTTGTCGTGTGTAAAATCACGTGGCGAAATTTCGCCGTTTTAGCGCGCGCTTTGTGGCAAGCCCTTCACTGAAAAGACTGTCAGACAGTCAGCCCGTTGATTCCCTTTCAGCAACTCAGAGTTCGAATGCTTCCACAAGCAATCAGGAGACACAACTCACACCACGTCTGAATGTAATAAACTACCATGAAAATGCAAACATTACAGCCTGAGCAGTGCGCTCAAGGGTGTAAAATGTAGCGCTTTTCCAGTGTTCGTCGGCGCGCGCGGTATGCGAAAATACATCATATTTGACATAACGTCACATTGCACCCCTGGCATATTTTCTTTAATTTTTTACACACTACTATAGTTGGTCCGCACAAATCTTAAACGAATATTACTACATTGCTTAAACTCTCGTATAACTATCGATAAAAAATTATAGGCTGCAAACATTTTAATTGTTCCTTTGCACAGTGCTCCTTTAACGGTGTGAGTAATTCTTTAACACCAGCATTATTTTTGTTATGTTGTAATCCTAAGACCTTTGTGACAGTCCTACTGGTGTTTACCAGAATAAATGTCTACAACAGCTAAGGATATTTTTTTTATTAATGTTTTCGAGTCGCACGGTCAAAATAAAAATCGCAGTGACGTAGAAT